GAAAGGTATGCTTGACACTCTTCCAGATATTATTTCCTTCTTTTAACCATTCAATTTTCTTTTCCCTACGTTGTTGCATGTAGGTGGCTCTTTCAACCTTGAATATTTCTTTCCACATTAAAAAACTTTCGAGATGGGAGGTTTTTCTCGATCTACGATATGCACGTCTATGTTTGTTGACTGTTCTAGCTAATAAAACGAGCGATGGAGGCCATGGTGGTCGAAACTTATCTATATTTTTATATGTACTACATCTATCTTGTAACGCCTGTAGAAATGAAGAGAAAAGAGAGAAAAAAGATTCCGTATCGAGGTTATAGACGAGAGAATTCCAGTATTGAGTAGCCGTTGATAAGAAGAAGCTAAATAATGTCCAGTTTGTTTGCCTATATAACATTGTGTTTTCGATAAGTATGGGTGCTTGGAATAACACGGGCCAGTGATCAGATGTTCCCTCTTGAAGTACTTCTGTGTTCCATCCTGATGAGTCATGTGTGATCCCAAAATCTATTATAGAGTTGGATCTTCGTGATGTGGGTTTTTTAGGTATGATCATATCATTTCCTGTCGCCTCCAGCCAGTTCAGAATATGTACCCCGCTTGTATTATTTTGTTTACAGTTCCATGAGGTGTGTTTGGCATTGAAATCCCCTAGGATGTAGAAGGATCTGCTTGAACATTTGTTGAACAGCTGAAAGGGCGGTAGGGACCCTGGTGGTACATAGACTGCTCCAATAAGTATAGGTTCACAAGGTGTTTGTACTTCGATTAATAAAAAATTTAGATCTCGTTCGACTATTTTACATTTTAGATGTTTCTGATATAGTATTGCTACTCCTCCGTAGGAATTTGTTCCAAATTGCGACATTCCACAGTAGCCCGTAAATTCAGGGAGTTTTCTGGCAGCAGCCCCAATTCCAGTTAAGATACATATGTGTGGTTTATGCTCGGTTAACAGCAGATCGACATCAGTTATATGTGTGTTTAGACCCTCGACATTGAACAGAATAATTAGTAGGTTGGATGTTTTGTCTTGTAAGGGACGGTCTTTTTTCCATTGTTTACATAGATCAGATATGCTGAGACGTACGTTCCATTCAGTGATCATGTCAAGAAGAGTAGATTTCTCTTGGGCGGTACCAGGAAAGTTATCACATAGCGAGGGGGATATAAGGGGATTACAGAAAAAGAAAATGTTTTTATTCATACAGTTGGATGTTTTCGATATCAAGCTGTTGGTATTGTTGGATGGTGATTTCGTTTGTTGAGTTGGTTCATTTGAGTTTGGGAGAGGATGGGAATAGTTCGTCATTGGTTCAATGTTGAAGATTGTATTATTCATTGGTTGTTATTAAGCTGTTGACACCATGCATCATCAATCGATCTTGTTGTTCAATCAGGTTGCCCAGTGCTTTTTGGTTGTTAACAAGTAGTTCGTTTCTATCTTTGATAAATTCGAGAGATTGAGATATATGGTGAAGTATTTCTTGTGTGTCATTATTGTTTGTATCATTTCCACTTGTTGTGTTGATTGTCGTAACGATCCGCTGAACTATTTCGAGTGTAGCCGATAGTATTGGTAGAACTTCATTTATGGTTGTATAGCACCGGTCGACACTTTCATTTTGATATTTCGTTTGTTGAGAGGCACTTAGTAAAATAGCGTTCATTTTCTTCAAATGGTCGTTGTATTTCGCCTGATGATTTGCTAGTTTCAAATTAAATTCGTCCTTTAATTTATCAATTTCTTCTTGTTTTTGTTTTAGATCATTCCATATGGTTTGTTCATTGACTTGTTCCATACATTGGTTCTGGGATTTGTTGGTAAGTGCCGGCCAGGAAAATGATTTAATATTAAATGGATTTTGATCCATTCGATTATTTGTCGTTGTGTGAATGCTTGATCTTGGATTGATTAAGATTCTGTTGTTTCTGACTCCCTGATCCCGACAATCAATAGGAATAAATATTCGAACATTTGGTGGTAAAAGATTAGGTTTTTCCTTTAGTTGGTTTAGCAAGGAGCGACGGTAATCCATCAAATATTGGCACTTGTAGTCAGTTGATAAGTGCTGTTGATGGCACCTATGACATGAAATAGTACATTCATTATGGTCACCAATTGCCCGATCTTCACCACATCTTCGACAGGCGTCATATTTAAACGTACAATATTTACGTATATGACCAGGTTCATTACACTTTGTGCACATTAAAAGCCGAGGTGGTGCAAGAAATTCTTCAGCTTCAATTAGATGACCACCAATTGATAATCCTCCACTTCTGAGTAATCCTTCATATTCCGAATTTGATTTTAATTCCATTCGCACATGGCGAAACTTGTCAGTTTTTGACCCTTTCATTTCCTCAACATTGTATAATGTACCAAAATGTGAACTAAGTTCTTTATAAATTTCATCGTGTGTAATATAATTAGGAATATATTTGAGAATTATTGTATTTTGAGGTGGAAGATGTTTAGGTCTGCTTGGTAATATTTCTGTATCATTGATAATTGTTGGATAATTGCTTGGTTCGGACAAGTATACAAATAGTTCAATATGTCGAGTATAGCATGTTAAATTTCCATCTTTGTTTATGAACCAATAATCAAAACCAACCGGAAACCTGTAACTTTTATTGATCTGACGAAACTTCTGTTCTATGTGTTTGAACAATGATTTAACTATTTCTTTTGCTTTATCATGATTGTCAATTTTAGGTTGACATTGAATATACAAAGGCGGTAGATGATGTTCAACCGCATACTGTAGGGCATGCTTTGAAATCTTGATTTCTTCATTTTCAGTTCTTTCATTATTTCTTCTATCATTATTATTTTCGTTTTCGTTTTCGTTTTTGTTCAAGATCCTTTTATGAGTTGGTGTCAAATAACCAATGTCATTTTCTTCATCTCTTGTCATTTTCATCTGTTCATTTTTTTCTTTTTCTTTTCTCTTCACATGTTCGTATCGCCTGGAATGATATGCATCGTTGTTAATGCTGTTGTTATTTTTGTTCGTTCTGCTTTTACTGTTTATAAACAGCCGTCCGCCGTTGTGTGTTGCTGATGAGGTGGTGTGATCGAAAACAGGTATAACATCATCTTTGTTTCCATCATATGCTTTATCATTTAGATTTTTTGGTTTACGTTTAGCACCCCTTGATACAAAGATGAAAGGATTGGTATCGTCGGCTTCATGAACGCAATATTCATCAACTTGACTGGTTGAAGTAAGTTGTCTTTTAAGTTGGTTTCGGTTTGAATCATCATCATAATTATTTCTTCGTATGTTGTAGTCGAAAATACGTTCACGTTCAGTACGTCGATGAATCATTTCTTGAATTATTTGATCATTTTCATCACAAAGACGATCTTTTTCTTCTCTTGTCATTTGTTCAAATTGATTGTAGTTATATGAGGACATATATTGACGTTTAATATTTAATATTTAATTGTTTGTTAATAAAATTTTATTTTAAGGAAGAAAGCACGCAATGCACGATACTAATCGTATTCGTACATATATCGAGAAAGAGGAACGCGTCTTACTCTCATAGCGTGTAAAGAGGAATGATTCGAGATTATAGTACGAACCATATTGGACAATTTCAATAGATATGATGATTTTAATTTTTATTTACTAGATATGCGATGTTATTTTCGACGATTGATCTATCTTTTACTGTTAGTAGTTTCATTAGTTATTCTTTATCAACTATATATTATAATTCATAAATCAATAAATTCTCAATCACCTTTTATAGTAAGTAATCGATAAAAATCTCCGTCTTACTATCATAGTATATGTCTTTTGAACAGATAATTCATTTGAAAAATCGTACTTATCGTATACTTTCTTCGTCGTTTAAATATAATTCTCATGAATCATATCTTAATTTTGCTTATTTTAATGTTGAACAACGTTCTCGAGTGTTATATATTGATTATCTATATGGTAAGTTTTCATATGTGACACAAATCGAAATTTTACTTCTATTTTTCTTTTTAAGATATACCGGTTTCATCTCAATGGCAATCGAGCGGACATTTGTATCCAATACAAATTGCTCAATTTGGTCTCAGTCATTGGAGTCGGTTAAAATTAAATTCGAAGACTAAACAAAATCATATTCATAGATTTGAACGAATACAACCAAGTAAATTAATTTTAGTGATATTTAAGAAAATTTTTCTGAATTTAATTAGGTAAAAATGATTATTGTTCATCATGGTATATAATAAAAAATAAAATTTTTCTCTCTGATACTTTTATTCATTTTACAATTTCATCAAATTGTTCATTACATTTTCAATTTTTGAACAATAATATTGAACTTATTTATTCAACAATGATAATCAATGATTTAACAAGTTCAACAAAAATAATTATTCCACTCCAAGGTTTTCCTCGTCAAGTTAATCGACATATGTTAATTGATATAGAAAAATCGATTCAAAAGATACTTTTAATTAAAAATGATTTCATTCAAATTCGAATTTGTGGTGAACCAAATTCTTTTATCAATCAATTAATTATCGGTAATCAAACATTATATAGTCAACAAGCATTTTATTCAGCAACACGATGGTTATTAAATACTCAAGATTTTAAAACAGGTTGTTGGTTTATTCATGTTAAACGAAATTATGGTAATCATCATCAATATCATTTACGAATGCCATGGTGTTCAGCAATGGCACAAGGTAAAGTTCTTTATTGAAAAAGATTTAAAATATGATCTTGTAAATTTAGGTCAAGCAGCATCTTTACTTGTTCGTCTTTATTCGCTTACAAAAGATATTCAACATTTATTAGCTATTCGTCGAGCTATTCAACCTTTGTGGTCATCAAATATGACTCGAGCTTATTTTAATAATCGTTTTCTGTGGCTTGAAGAATATCCATTAGAATCACATGGTAAAGGTCTTTTTGTTCTTAATGGATGTCTTTATGCTTTACTTGGTACCATTGATGTTTATACAATTGATCCTCAACCTTATTTATTGGAATTAATTAATGAAATAATTATTTCATTACATCATATGCTTCCATATTATATACATCCTACAATTTCAAATTGGTCTCTCTATGATTTAAGTCATATAACAATGAAATCAAAAATAAATACAGCTTCGGATTCATATCATCTTGTACATATAATTCTACTTCAATGTTTAAGTCAATTATTTAAAAAAACAAATTTTTCGACATCGCAACTATTTGATTTATATGCTCGAAGATTTATATCAGCTATTTCGTAATAGAATTTTCATCAATTTGCCATAATTCTTCACTTTTTTTACTGGATAATAATAAATAACAATAAAATCTTTTGTTTTTTCTTCATTACGTACAAGTCCAAAACCAAGAAATTGACAATCTGGATTTAATATTGGTGTATAACGTTTCTGAAAGAAAATCATCATTAATTTTATAAAGTATTTATTTACTTTAGATGAATGACCATTTTTTAAATCTTTAATAAGTTGATCATACGTTAATTTAGCAATATCAGAACCATAATTAACAGGTGTTCGACAAGATATAACTCTGTAGATGAAATATAGTTAACGAGTTATTCGAAATCTTAAAAAAAAAATTTCATACGTTTCTCCAATAGGTTCATTATTATGAATAAGATCAGATCGATTGGTATTTTCTATATGATTTTGAATAGATAATTGAGTCGCTCGATAAAGTGCTCGATTTGTAAGTTCATTAGAAAGTTCGAGTGATATGAATCCTAGATGAAAACGATATTCATTTACTGTTTCGAGATACTCTTTCGCTAAACGATTTAAATCGATGTCACTTTGAATTTCGTATAAGTGATTTTGTGTTGAAATAATTTTATCTGTTACATGAATATTTGTATGGGGAATAATTAGTTGATCTAATGATGAATATTTGTTTGAGATTTTTTCGTCTTCAGGTGATAAAGATAATCTTATTCTATTTAGATTAGATATTTTTGGTGATAATCCATTGTTGATAGACGTTTTAACAGAGTGTATATTTGGATTTCGGCCACAAAAAATACGGTGGCAAGCAATAATTATATTCGACATACATTCTACTAACTCAATTATTTGATGTTACATTATTAAAATCAAACTTTAAAATGAAATATAAAACAAGTTGATATAGGAAGTTGGTATTTTTTAGCGCTAATTGATGATTCAATAGAAAATATATTTAATCAATATTGATTAATAACAAGAATAGTGCTCAAAGATAATTTTACATGTACATAATTATGCTGCTCTTGTAAAAGATAAAACTTATTGGTAAATATGGTCTATCTTAGTCAAAACTTGTTCATTTCGAGATATATATTTGAAAATAATCACTCTCAATAAAACAATATATATATATATATATATATAGAATCAATTGATGAATGTAACGGTTGGACTATTAAGAATAAGCTTCTCAGTATTTCACGTCTATGTCATTGATTTTTCAACACAGGAAGAAAAACTTTAATAAAAGATTTCTTGTTCAATTCTCTATGTACTGCAGGCATTCCTATTGTCTTAGATAGTTTTCATTTTGTTGCGACATATAATACAATTGATTTGTCGAAGATGTGTAATTTTCAAAGACAATATTTTGTCGGACCTTTTTTTACGTAATATTTCAATTGTTGAATCATTATTGTTCTTGATGTCACTCTGTTCCAGTTAAAGATTTTTACGAATTCATCCCAAATATAGTAATCTAGCGAGTTGCGATCGAGACTTTCCAATGGTTCATGATCTTTCTTAAAAAAGTATGGAAAATTGTCTCGACACTTTTGAGTTTGATGTGTTTTGCATAAGATAAATCCATTTCCAACATTGAAAAGCAAATATTTACCGGAAGTGGTGCTTTTGAAACAACAGAATGGTGACTATCTGACGAAAATATTTCATGATTTAAATGGTACACTTGATCTAACGACTATTGAAATATGGTGCAACATGATCAGTGAAACTGGGTTGATCAATTCGATAACAACATCATCGGTTCGTCCTTGCACAGTACGAATAAAAGCTACAATCAACAAGATTAAATGGAAATTTCAACAAAAAAGATGTCAAATCGAGAATTCGCTCTTGAATTATGTGTACCTTGAACAAGTTCTCGATGAATTCTTCGAGATGATCTTGAGAGTATGGGTTAGTGAAGAGAAGATGCACACCTATATCCTCAATTTTGCTACTTGTATGATCATCAATGAATACCGCCTGGAATTAGATTGAATATTAATAATATAGTAATCTGTTTCGTATCTATGAATGGTAATAAATCCAAAAAGGATCAATTTCAATGTTTCATTTTCGATTGGATATATAAAATACGTCAGCTAGAACTAGGCTTCTAAGGGCTCTTCCTCAAATGTAAATGATAATCTCATCAAAATACATACTTATTTAATCGCAGAAGCCCTTGACAAGCCGGCTCAGGCACTGTTCATGAAGATTAATGATTCCACTGGTTACTACAGTTGTGTGGGCTGTACAATTAAAGGTAAAGTGCTAGATCTCTCATCACTTGTGAAGACAGACTCGAAACTATATAGATTAATATATTGTAAATTCTAAGTAACATTGTGTTATTTATGAACTCTATAACATTGTATAAAAACTGACTACCAACAATTCAATTCTAATAAGTGTTACAATGATGCTTATATAGTTTATCTGATATATTTTAAAGCTAACTTCGACATAGATATGGTTCTTAAGTTTGTTCTTGTTTGAGAAGAATCTGTGCCAAGTCGAGATAGCACCACACGTGCATTATAAGAAACGAAAAAGACGATATTGAATCGAGAAGACGTAAATAATGTGATGAACATTTTGTTACACTGTCACAAGCGACTATAATTCTTTCACAAATACGAGAGAAACTTTTTTCTTTGTTTAACCAGGTACAATCGAATGATCTAGATTCTGCTTATGATCAATATGGCTCATGTTTTTTTTGCATAATCTATCTTATTTCAATATTGGTTCATCTTTTACCTCTGATTCTCTTCATCATGCATATTCTGGAACATTCGTAAGGATTGATTTGTTGATATATGTTCTACTTAACTTTTATCGTTATTATTTAATAGAAATGTTTATTGGAAATGTGGTTTATAACTCGTTGTAAGTCATATTCTATAAATAAAAGTTTGCGTCTGATCGACATTAAACTTGACTCTATTTGATATTTTTCTACAAAATATCATTTACAATTTCAATTAAGGTTTTTTCAAACGTACAAAGGGAATGAATACCGGCTGATATTATTATTTGGGTATCAGTAAGTTTTTCAATGTGTTGTAAACATAATTGTCATTTCTTTCTTTGATAAGACACATACGTATGTCTATTATATATTAACCAAACAGTTGTTAAAGTAGAAGAAAATATTTTGATGATAAATTTTCAGAAAGAATCTTTGAAGAAAAGACATTCTACTGATCTTTTCTTTCAGCGAATCTAGAATCATGGTTCCAATAAAGATATGTGAATAATTATCGATTCGATAACAAGATAAATGTAATATAGGTGTAAAAATTCGTATATAAAATATTGACAAAACTCACTTTTTGATTTCTATATAGATATTTCAAATCAGTTCTTCCTTATAATACTATAAACATCTGATGTTTTTGACACTCGCAATGAATTTAGCCAAATCATCTGCTTGATATCATGATACAATTGAAACAATTAATTTTTTACATGATGAATTTGATCGACTATTTCCATTGTTATTTTCAGTAAGTATACTATATCACTTTATAAGAATATATGCATATAGCGAGACAAAAGTTTGTTTTATGTACAGCCTAGTGTTGTATTTTCAAAGGTCTCTAGTAAACTAAGCGAACATAAGAAGTATTAATTCTTGTTCAAATCATTACATAATATGTGAGTGGATGAAAGCTTGAGTAACGTGTAAATGATTATTTAGACTTTCTAATATATTCATTTGAGAAAATAAATAGTGTTCCAGGACATAGCATCATATCGTATTGTATCCGAATCGTGTAAAAGATGACAAAGAATGAGAAAGAAGAAATGGGTACTATTCTTCTGATGATAAAGTTTTTCTCTGTATTATCATATTTACATAAATCAATATTCAGTCAAATAAAACAACTATAAAAATAATAATAACATACTTCTTGTAACTAATAGCCGCACAGTTCGTTTAATAACCTAAAAGTTACTCTGTAAATATTTTCGTCTTTTATTTAAATGTTATTGGCGAAGAGTGATATTTCGCGCAATAGTACAATTATACGTAGGCTTTTCTAAATTGAACGGGTTTTTGAAAATATGAGCTCGAACTTCATAGTCTAGATCCTTGGCACTTTAGATTACTAGTAGATTATGTTTTTTCTTAAAGGTATTATTTTCAAAGCCAAAATCAGTGATACTTATCATCTATTCTATGGTTCGTGTGCCTCAATCAATCAGACGTTCTGGTCCGATATACAGTTATTCTACATTTAACCTCAAAAGTGTCATCGGTATGTTTTAAAAGTACAAAGCACATTGTTTTAATCTGAGCAATCACTTAACATTCGTCATTACAATATGACCCATCGTTCAATCTATTAATGGATCAAATTTAATAGTTTCTGAATTAACAAACAATATTAATATTTTGCAATGCGCAACAACTAAACTTACAATAATGTCAGTTTCAACTCATCTGTCAAATTATTTACACACCGGTTTTTTTTTCTTTAGAATGATATGTAATTCCGTACCAAAGATTCCCAAATAAAAACAATTCTATTCGTCTTGGTCGTAAATTTGAATTATCTAATAGTCATATTGTGATGGCTTACTTACGCAACATGCACATTCTGAATTGTTTTTACATCCACCTCATCTATACTCTAAAAAAAA